CTGTTACAAAAATGGCCATTTGGAAACAGCAACTTGCAAACTGTTTCTCTTTTCTGCAGAGAGTCTGGTTCATTAAAATCAAGACAATTCAAATTAATTTGGGGTAAATCAAAATAAGTCTCATTACAACCAGAGCATGGTGGCTAAACCCACTGGTCTGGCCATCTGTCAACATCTCCTTCCCAACCCACTTTAAACAGAATGACTGGTGGATGTTTTTTTTTCTGCCAGTTAATGATATTTAGTGAGAAAGCAAACAAAGTTGGGGAAATCTATAAATTGTTTCCATTAAATTCTTCCACATTAAAAGTGTATGGACAACACCATATTATGGTCTTGTACCTGAGACAGGACAAGGCTTAGCAAAGTAAGGATAGTGCAAAGTATTTTAGCATACTTTTTTTCCCCTTGTCTCAAGAACTGGAAGAATCACATTAATATAGCCCTGAGAAAAAACCTACATGTGGAAGCTGTTTTCAATAGAAAATGAGTAAAACAATGATACTCCATATCACAAGGTATCTCTTTTTATAGGCTGTATTTTTAAGTGGCTGTTGGCCCGGGAATATGATGAACATAGGATTTATTGAGCTAGCTGTTACTGATTTTTCCACAGATGTTAGTCTTATATTGCCTTATGTGCTATTTTGGCACCTAACACAACACATAGCATCTTCAAAACCAAACAACAGGGATATAGTTTTTTTCAACCCAATATCTGTCTTACACACGTAAACACACTGTTTTGTCTATCTCACATGCACACTCATTTTCTCACATACATGCACAAATAACTAGTGGGCATAAATGTTCCCTTAGCCAATTACAATTCTTTTAAAAATCCAAAAGAAAACCATTGAAGGAAGCAAAATATATTTATGTTTGCTATCATTTTTTTTCCTTTAAAGTAAAAAGGTTAACTGTTCAGAATTAAAATTCAGTCTATTTTGTCATTAAACAAAATATTTGAAAAAAAGCAACAGAAGCAAACAATTTAAACTACTTCCGAGTTTAACTTAATGTAAATGTCAATCCTGAGTCTTGAGTTCATATCTAGGACAAGTTTGATAGTTTAATTTATGCAGGTATTTTTTAACCTATTCTAGAGCATCTGTTACCAAACAACTTGGAAATGGAGCAGCATGGACACCTCCAAGTTTTTGGGTGGCAAGTGTAAAAGGAGTTCCAGGGAGCCACACCTTAGCCGAATAGCATTGAGCAGGGTATATATAGCTTGCAAGTTATGGATTGCTTAGCCATGATGTATATGTACACAGATTTTTCATACATTGACAGAATAATTAAGTAGCTCTTTGTGGTACGGACAGGTTACTCCCTTTTTTATAAATAATATATTTATTAAATTTCAACATTAAAATAAAAACCAATAAATAAGGAAAGGGGAAAAGGAATTGTGGCAAAAAACACATCTAACAAATTTATAACAAAAATGACCTCCAACTTTCTTTTAGTACATAGATAATAACCCACTTCCTTTAAAGCACCAATACAAAATTTGCTAAGATAATGTACACAAAGCAGATATGGATGTTCAAAGGATTGTACAGCATAAGAATGAATGAAGGTTTGCAGGCTACAAATGGTAGAAATATATTACATGACTCAGAAATCAGTTTGAGTAAAACCCAGTAAATTTCAACATTTTATATATAAGTCTATAAAGAGGGTGGGAGGGAGGGAACATTATGCTTCCAAAAGTGCCTCAAAAAAGAGCCAAAATAAGCAGTCTCTTGTTCATAAGCAGTCTAGGTTCATATTTAAACACTATCACATTCTATAATGAACAGTGAGCCATTTGTAAATATTTACACGTTTCAATCCAGCATAATTTGTTTTTTTTTTTTAAGTAAACAAATGTGCTGTGAAATAGATAACTCCAAATCAGGTTGCAAGATGATGTTTGGAAAAACATTAATAACAAATGTGGTCCCCATGGCTACTGGTCTCTTCTGTCATCTGCCCTCCTCCTTT